CCGCACGCCCCAGTTGAAGTTGTCCGAACTCTCGCCCTAAACAAAAACTACTTATTAACAAATTACGCGAATGCACAACCACCAAATTCTCCAGTTTTCTTTCTAAAATAGAGAATAATGGTTTTCAAATTAAATAAATATCTGTGGCAATAGGTCAGAATATGATAAATGCGATTTAATTACTTTACAGAACAAGCAATTAAATTAAAAAACTAAAACAAAAGTTGAAATATAAAAGTTAATATTCAATATAACAGTAAAATTTTGCATGTATGTATCCTGATATGAGCATATAAAAGAGCATTTTTTGGCTATTATACCTGTATTAATTAGTCATACTGAGGAAAAAGGTACTTATATTTATCTGATCTATGCCTAAAGCAGGATAAACAAAACTCTCACCTCAATACTTTCGCTTTCATATTCGAGAAAATCAAAGTCTTTGAAGACACCGAAGTGGTCGGTGGGCGGGGCGCCGCCGGAGGGCTCGTTGCCGGGAGTGCCGGAGACCTCCTCCAGCGATGACGTCATCGACGACTCCCGCTCCAGCAGCTCCGAGCTCTGACTGAATATCACCTGACACAGAAAATATCAGCATTTCAATTGTTAAGTCATAATTAGTTCTAAAAATTATTAAAACACAACATACATATTCGGTTTTTAGTAACTATTGATTTTAAGTTAATTACAATTTTCACGCTTAACTACGCATTTTTTATGCGCGTTGTATCGTCGTTCGTTTTAATAACTACAATACATAACTTACATCGGAATAACAATTCTGATTTTGTGAATTTGACGAATTGTTGGTGAAGAATTTTGGCAAACAATGTTAAATTTTTCTGTGCTAAATTTATTTTTATTTTTAACAACAAACACGTTTAAAAACAATAACAAAGCAATGTGAGCAACAAAACTGTAAACAATCGAAATGGTTAAAACAAAGTGATAATGCGTACACAAATCTCCATAAAGTGGGGACACTTCAAGCAACCGTTCACCAAGACACCTGCTACCGCCAGATTGTAAACTTTGGTATGTTTATAATCTCACTACCAACTTGTATTGTTAAGAACCATTGATGTTTTTTTAAACAATTTAGACCAAAGTAAAAATTTATAACTTCCTCCTGACATAATTGTTGCAATTGTTGATAATCAATTCAAAGTTATGTGTCAGCTAACAGCATATCCAGTGAGATCATAAACTGACGGTATTTACAAAATGACTGGCACACACTACACGTGTTAACACAGAAACGAACCATGAAAAGCTTGTAAGCGTAAAATCCAATGACTTATTTAAGAATGCAATGTGTTTCCTATAACTATGTTGTAAACGATACACTCGAGGTGAGGTCCTAAGTTACCATCTATTCGAACCCATAGCTTAGTGTAGTGCGTTAAGCAATGCGACATAAGTATACATTTTTGCTTATTACCTTAGAACATAAAGTGGTTATTAAATCGTCCTATACGCAGCGATGGGTAAAAATTTCATTCATGTTATTTTTTCAAAAGTCAATTTTAATCGCACATCGAATCTATAACACTGAAGCTTTATATATATATATTGTGTTAACGTGCGTTTCCACTGTCGCAACATGTATAACAACCACATTGCCATCATTGTCACGTATTGCGACCTTTGAAATTTACAGACAAATATTTTCTATATACAAATATTTATCTTTCATTTTACTTACAGACGGGCTCTTGGGCAGGCCCACTCTTTGCCCACAAGTAGTCAAGAGGTTTACAAGGCATTCGCGAACACGGCTCTGCGAAAAGAAAAAACAATATTAATGTAAAAAAATAGCATACATATTTCATAACGTGTGCAAAATCCTAATTTTAAATTGTTAATGCTATAATTAAATTTAAGTACATTGTTTGTATTTAGGTAGGTCATTTACTTGCGACATCCAGGGTCGTTTCCACCCCGAAGCCATAGCATCAGCGGGGGAGAGTGAGAGGGAGCGTCGCGGAGAGGCGGCGCTGTGCGGCCCCGCCCCCGCGCCGCCGCTGCCCGCCCCCGCGATCCGCCCGCCGCTCTCCTGGCCCACCACTGTTGATGCGGACCCTGATGTTGACGACCCTATACACAAACGAAATTATAGTACTTAGAACAAAATATGAACATCATAACTTCCTACTGGCAACTGGCCTTTAGTTTGGATTTAGTCTGTAAAAATCTCACCAGTTTTATTACTTATACTACTATTTGAATTGCAGTTATAAGTCCAATATCAAAGTAAATTCCTACGTTACCTTTATCAGCAGTTGTTGAGGAGGCATTTGACAAGGAACTGGGTCCTGTCGGAGGCTGACTGCCGCTCTTCGGCAGGTACTTGCGGCCGATGACCGGAGTTTGAGAGAGGTCGAAAGTGAAGTCCATAGTACGACCTGGTAACTCCTGTTAAACATACCATTAGTCTTAGGAAATTGGTACCAACGGGTCGACACTAGACCGGATGGTCTACACACGGATGGTGATGGCATACACGTCCCCATGACGTCTGTCAATGTCATTCAGAAGTATTAGAATAGCACGCCATTATGAAGGGTGTTAGTGGACTGAGTGTTAAATTAATTACCTTATTACAAATACATTATTGTCTAAAATTATCTAATCACTAGCCGTTGCCTGCGACTTCGTCCGCGCTGAACAACAAAAATACTATGGATCCCTCGGGAACTTCATGTTTTTCGGAGATGAACCGTATCCCAAGCGTTACACCAGATTTTGTTTAAATATGTGTGAAATTACAATAAAATATATTACACCGTTGCAGAATTATCGAGTAAACATTAAAAACCAAAATAGTGTAACCCACGGGAACTGTTACTATTACCGGGATGAAAAATGTGTTCTTCCAAAATATCCTCTACATCAATGCCAAATTTCATCGAGATCCGTTCAGCTGTTTAGTCTACTAACTCTAATAAACATCCATCCATCCATCTCAACTTTCGCATTTATAATATTAGTAGGATGACGTCATCAAAAGGTTAATAGTACAGAGGTTATTTACCTTCTTGCCGTGTAGATCAGTATCGAGTATGGAGGAGGCATGGCTATCCCAATGAGGTGGCACCACCAACGTCGAGCACCGCGTCACCACCAGCTTCAGAATCTTCATAGCCTCCTTGTAATTGTTGTTATCTTGCTGGAATTGCACACATTTTAATCAGTTAAAATATCATTATACTAAGTTAGAAAGAGAGACAGATACTTTTAGGATTCTTAGGCTATTCACTATTATTTTCAATAGCACACTGTAATTATTAAAGCTTTTAACTAACATTTACCAAAGCAGAAATTATCGTATCGAAATATTACCTTTATCGTGTGATATATAGCAAAAAATGTGACGACCAAACTAAAAAGAACCTGTACATGTTAGCTATACATACTCCAATGAACTTGGATACTGCGCGCAGGAGGTCAGCGTTGACTGGTTGTGCTGCTGGCGCGTTAAGCTCGACGTAATGCAGCATGCAGTGCAAGATGGACAGGACTGCTGGCTGGAGACTCCCCGCACCCTGAAATATAAATAACACAACTTAGTAAAAATATATAGAAGACAGGGGAAAGACATTCTGTGTACAAATCATCATCATCATCACCACTATACGTCCCCACCGAGGGGCTCGGAGCCTACCCTAAAGTTAGGGTGACTAGGCCATAGTCAACCACGCTGGCCAAGTGCGGGTTGGTTGACTTCACACATATCTTTGAATTTCTGTGTACAAATAAGTTCGTAAAATTGAATTCTGCTTTCCGCGTAGGTGCTACTAATTTAAATTCCTTTTACATGTTTTTTAAAGTCAGAATTGTGTCTTCTATTCGTTTGAATTAGGCCAGTCTTAGTAATATTATAAATCAGAAAGTTTTATATGGATGGATGTATGTTTGTAGAAGGCAACACTCGAATGATTATACGGATCTCGTTGACATTTGACACAGAAGTAGGAATGAAGAACACGTAGTCTCACTGCAGTGTATTTTTAATTCATTAAGAAGTCGTGAGCAAAAAGTAATGTTTCTACGTACCTTTTCCAGTACTTCAACAAGGAAGGCGAGCATTTGGAGTGAGAGATGCGAGTAGGTGTCCCAGAGGTACTTGACCACACACTTGGTCCACTGGAAGCTCTCCTTGCTGAAGGTTCGGCGAGAGTACAGCGTCATCACCGTGCCCAGGTTCTCTAGCTTCTTGCTCTTCTCTGCTGTGAACTGTCACATCAAACTTGTGTTATATATCTATACTACTATACTAATATAAGAAAGCGTAAACACACATTATTTCGTGGCGTAAGATGTCTTCTTTAATAAATATCCCTAAACATACGACACGCTTTAGGCTATATATTTTCTCGCAACTAAAGTTAGGGGGCAAATAAATTGGAAAATCCTTCATGTGGGAAGAATCATAAACTACAAGCTGTCAACATCAAGGAAGCAAGGTTGTCATGGTAACGGTAATTTTTATTTAATGCCTTTCGTTGTCATTTGTGCATTTGAATTTTGACATTTGCAATTGAAAATTTCACAAATGTAAACTATAAAATAAAGTTTTTATAATTCCATACAGGAACAGCTCGTTAAATATATTTTCACTGTCGGAGTACTTGTAACTAAACATAGTTAACAAATCTATATATTATCGTAGATAGTTATTTTATTTACCTGCGCGATATGACAGGCCGCTCTGACGCATAATTCTGTCGCGTCCTCATAGTGTAGCAACATGTATGGCAACAATGCCACCACTGTCATCGGGAAGGCCATTGACTGCGTTGGATCGATCACCGGTAGCTCCAGCAATGGGATCATATCCGCCAACACGCCTACTACCGGCTCGTATGTGTTGGGATGAGTACAACCCTGGGATACACAAAAAACATTAATAAATAATACAAGAATGAGATCGCAATATCCTTGCCAATTCCCTGTCAAATATATTTCTCAATACTCTCAAAGGCAAATCCAAAGGGTTTATCTGAAATCGCTTTGTAAAAGTTTACAATATTCGCAATAACATGTCAATCATTTTTATTTAATTCGCTTTAGATGTGATAGTTACATTAGAATTCGCACAAGAAAAACTGTAATGTCATTATTGTCCTTTGTTAAACTTTTGTAGTCAGTCTCATAAACAAATATACATTTACAAAATTTTTAAAACTTGTTCATGTCTGGTTTTAAAAATATGCAAGTATTCGTTAATTGCATATATCCATGATTTCAACTACCACTCTCGTCATGTGGAAATCATTACGCCTACATTCCATTAAGTGGCGTAGGACTAATTGAAGTCCCTTTTTCCTCACCCTTCTTTTTTATTTATTTATTGCAATTAATTTATACAAACATCTATACAAAGTAAAAACAATAAGTAATTCGGGCGTGCATTATAATGAGTACTAATGCAGCGAAACAAACATTTGGAAATAATTACAATGCACCTAACACCAAATCAATAATATCAAAATATTTACAACTTAACAAGCTCAATCTTAATTATAACATCCTTGGCTTTAGAAACCCCTATAAGGAAACAGCTTCACCATTTTGGCGAATTTACCGTTTACCTTCTATTAAAGTACCTTGAGTAGTAAAGCGTGGAGCGCGGGCGCGGCGTGTGCCTGTGTGCGGTCGAGGCGGTCGCGTGCGTCCGGTCTGTCGAGTGGTAGGCGCGCCATCACACGCGCCAGGAGACGCACACCAAGCAGATACTCGTGCTCGTAATCAGATTCTAGCAAAGACGCTCCCACCCAGAACAGCGTCGCCAGGATCGTCAGCTTGTCATCCTAGTTACATTTGTACACCTTTTAGATTTGTAGAGTTGTTTGTTAGAGTTTGTAGCTTAAAGGGCTTAACGGATTTCGATGAAAGATAGATGAAGTGGATAGTCTGGAATAACACATAGGCTACTTATATTTTAATAACACAGGGATATAATCGCGGGAGAAAGCTAGTATACAAATATTATATAAACAGTCGCACCTGACTCAATCCGCGCGGAAATAATAAAAACTTAATTAGTAGCCTATGTAATTTTCCAGATTATGTTTTACATCTGAGCCAAATTTCACCAACATTCATTGAACAATCCATCTAAACTTTCACATTTACAATTTTAGTAGGAGCGAAGATAGTGATGTTCTACAAATAGAACAATCAGAAAAATAACTAGAATCAACAAAAAAAGATAGCAGTAAAATTTCCTTCTTTCATCTTATTCCTGGAGTTGTTATTCCTAATACTATTTCTAGAAAATATTGAAAATACGAAGAATAACGTGAAATATGAAATATTTGATATTTGTTGGAGTATTAACGTAAGGCAACGCATTTACAAGGTGTACACTTTTAAAATTATATTTAAACAACAACGCTTAAATGTAACGTAAATATTAGGCATTACCTGCGTTGCGCTGTCTCCGAGCAGTTTCAGAGATTGTGCGGACCGCGACCGGCACAAGTTGGAACACCCTTTGGATGAATCACTGCACGGCCGGCTTCGGTCTGTCAAATTAAAACGATAAAACATTCATACAAGACATAACTACTATTTATTTCACAAAGAGTACATTAGTAAAAGTTTTATGAAAATTGTACGCCAACCACGCTGATCCCTAGGGATTAAAAATGTCCAAGTATACCCTTTTAAGTTATTGTAATGTCCATTGTCATCTGTACTATCAGGAATAAAAGTATTATGTTTTTGTATTTTTTAATTTATAAAACATTAACAATAATATGATAACTATTCGAATAAAATTGCTAATTTAAGCACGAGAACTGGCAGAGAAGTGCATATAATCAATCTTTTTATAATAATTGTCGACGCGATTGTACAAAAACTACAAAGGATCTTTTTTACACATTTATTTCCCCTAGGGATTACATCTCATGGACAAAGCCGGTAAATTAATTCCAATAACGTGTATTGCTTTTAGCAGAATGTAATAAGCTGGGTATCATTGACATTTATAAAAAGACAGGTTACAAAAAGTAATATTTCGTGTGTTTCAATATTTTAATGTTGGTGCGAAATAAAAGCGGCACACTTTACTGTCATTATAACAAGTGCGATTATCGGAACGTATCAAATGCTGTCAAACTATGGCCTATCTATTTTTGTATATCAGTGGTTAGTATTGATCGTACCGTGCGGCTGTTTGTCTGCGTTCGTTGGTGGGGCGTTAGGTTTGCGCACGCAGTAGGGCGCGGACACGGAGTAGCTGGTACTGCGCGTGTGGTTACTGGCACACCCCACGCACACACCCGGCGACCGTTTGCCTGCGGCCATCACAATCAATCAATACCTACACAACTTATCTATATAAAATAGTACACCTGTATTACGAAAACATCGCTGTCCTTCTCTGTCTTAAAAAAATACTAGAGATAGCATACATGCACGGTAACATTTCATGTATCGAATGACGCGTAGATTATTCAGACTGACTATAATGCAAGAGTTGATAATTATACTCTGTTCTTGTTAGTGTATTTGTAGAGATAGATCAGATTTTTTTTTAATGTTTTTTCTAAACACCTTGGGTCATCAAGGTTAATTGCTATGAATATTATTTTAATATTCGAAAAAATAAAATTCTGCGAGGTTAAGGGTTAAATATCGCTACAAATAGGGTTATCGTAGAATATATCGTATATCGTTAAACTGTTTAAGATAGTTGACTTAATTGTTTCTTAGTGCACATTTATCGTACTAAATATTATGGATTAATTCGTATATTTTTTTCACTACCCTTCTTTATTGTTAACACCTGTTTTAAGGGATTTTTAACATTTCCCTTGTGATTTTATGATTTATGTTACTATGGAAGAGATACTTAGACCTTAGCTTTGACCAACAATAGAAATAATTAATGAATAAAGTAGAAATGTCGAAGCATTTTTACTTAAAACTACAACAAATACGAAAATATCTAACTCTTAAAAGGTCAACATTGCACCAAATAATCCATTCTCCCCGTCTGGATGCCTATATCTGAATACAGTATTAAAAGAAACATTAAAACTGTAGTCTGCACTGAATCACATATTAACTGACAAAAGTATCTACCTGCGGTGAATGGTGTTCCATTGGGTTGCTGTCCATCCTTGTTGTTCAAATTGGGTGTAGATTTGAAGATGTCGCGCATATAGTCGAGTGGTCTGAAGTTAGATTCGAGCGAGTCCACTGCTGCTTCTAGCGTGAGAAGCAGTTCAGTGACGTAGCCCTGCATATCTTCACCCTGTTCTGCGACCGTCTCCACCAGACGGGACAGAATATCAGTCACCATACGACCCGTCATCGCTACACCGATGAAGCGGAACACCTAGGGAACAATTTCAGTATAAGTAACGCTGTCTCTCTCATTCTCATGTAAAAAATAGAGATAACATATACGCTGATAATCTGGATTTAGTATGTAATATCTGTAGTATTAACTCTTCCTAATGGCAAGATTGTTATTACTACAAGGATAGGATGTATGGAGGATCTTTTGTTGAATCTATACTAATACAATAAAGCGTAAATACACACTTTTGTTTTAGGATGTCAGCATATACATCATGTTTTTGAATTAGTCTTTCTTTAATAACAAAACCTTTCAATTACAATACACTTAAAGCCAATAATTCCACACTACTTAATTCAGGGGGCGAATAAATCCGATATTACCACTGTGCGTGGGCGGGACAAAAACTACAAGCCAATAGCAACGAAGAAGCAAGGTTGCCATGATTATTCGCAACCAATAGCAATTTGTCATTTAAATTTTGACATTTTCATTTAAATTTTTGGAAGGGAAACAATAAAATATATTTTTTATCAGGAACAGCATCACAGGGTATATTGGAAAAGGAGTGAATTTTTGATATTCAGGACGACATAGATGTATTGATTAGTTCAGTGCCTACCCTCATTAGAGAAATGGTGATGTGTGTACCTGTAGGGATCTGCCAGCATAGTGTCTCGAGGGACAGGAGAGGCCGAGCTGTAAGGCAGTCTGCGCCCACCGTTCCGAGACCAGCGCGTGCGGCAAAGACTCTCTGAACACGCGCAGTGCGTGCCGCGCCAGCGTCGCCATCTGCTGGCAGCTACGCAGGCTCCATACTAAACATCAAACATATATTAAAAAATAAAGTAACATAGTAAAAAAATATGAAAATATCTTTAATAACAATGTTTTACATTTTCACTTGCATTTCTTATGACCAGTTTTGTTTCGTTCATTAGTCTTTTCGGTTCGATAAATTCTTGCGTTTCCAAAGTTCGTAAATTAAGTTTTACTACTTTGAAATTCTAAACATAACACTAAGGAATAAATGAAAACTTCAGCAACCCGGCATTAAGCCAATGTATAGGTGCATGGAAGATAGAATAAAACAACCATCGCTGGTTTATTTCTGGATAACATTGCAATTTGATTGTGCGTACACACATTTTAGAATATATATGTCATACCTTATCTTTACTTTTAAAGAGAAAATATTTAATTTAATAAACCCCAAACTTTACGAACAAATTGTGACGTAATAAATTAATTATTTACCTTTAGCAGTGATATCTTCATACTGCCATAGGGGCATGTGAGTTGGTCGGTTGGCTAGGAAGTGCACGAGGGACTTGATGACGTCAGCGACGGGCATCTCCGCCTCCCCCGCCTCCCCCACCTCCAACCCTCTCTCACCCTCACCCTCGCCCTCGCCGGTTATTATCACCGGCAGCGATGGGTACTTGTCGGCTTCACCTGCAACATTATTAACCTTATGTACCAGTCGTAGGGGCTAAAGTTTCCCAAACATAACTAATATGCACATCACCGGCAACCCTTTATTTAACGAGGTATTAAAGTCTTTAGATGCTCAACCCCACGTTTTAGTGAACCCCAAAAATAGGAATTTATATTCATTGCGGAGTTTGCAAAAATCTTATTTAAATCATACTGTTTCATTTTTCTAATAACGATTATCAATTGTTATTATAAACAATTTTTAATAAACAATATGAATTCGTTTGTAAAATGCGACCCTCAGTGGTGACGGACAATTTTGTTTTTATTTAAAAAAAATATTTACTAAATTAATTTGATATTTTGCGTTTCTGTGTAACTGTTATGGATCGAAAGATATAACATTAGATTAGATTGACGGTCATAACAGTACTTAATATGTAAGACATCGGATGCTTCATACCGCATTGTAGCTTTAATTATACATATGGAGGGCAGTACACCAATAGGAATAGCCCATTGGCCTACTGCCCTACAATTAATAGTTGATTATGTGAAGGGTGATAAGATTAAGAAGAGAGTGACGACTGAGGTCACTGACGAAACTGACAATAGTTCTTTAGACAGAGACAGACAAAAATCTGGTAAATCCTACATGAGTGGGAAAAGGATAACTATCTATACCTTCTGGAGTAACCTGGGGATCGGTACTGAGAGAGCGAGCGGTAGCTCGCGGCGAGTGCGTGCATTGCGTCGTCTTGTCGAATGCAGCGTCCGGCTCTGAAATAAGCAAAGAAAAAAAAAATGAAACCGATAAACATTTATTAAATACACGTAAACACTTTAATATCTCAGTGTCGCTCAAAAACTATAAGCGCGAAGAGAAATTCATAACTGAGAGTAGTAATAATTCTTGCGACTATCGATTGCAATAAAGGGTGCTATTGGAAACCTTCAGACGTTATGAAGCGTTTTATAGATTTTATTTTTTATTTTATTAAACATCAAGATGAAATCTACAGCAGCTTATATTACAATAAAGTAGAATATATGCATCATACTGATCAATTGAAAAAGACTCATTTTGATTTATATGAACACTTATTCTATAGGCATTTGAAAGATTTCAAATTTGAAGTAGCAAGTGGACACGTCGATCGAATTATTTATTACTTATTGAGTTCTTTTGTCTGGCAGTTTTCTTCGTACAAGGATTATTAGGCATTAAAAAATTTATAGACGTCGGTCGGTAGCGACGGACACGAAATAATGTAACAAAGTGGTGTGACCCGCAACCCCATTCACAAATCGGGTCACTCCGTCGCACTCGGTGATATGTTTTCATTGACAACAATAATCCACTTTACAGTCTAGCAACACAAATGCATATTGCAAATAAAAGACTGAGTCATGATTGTATTTTATCACTATAAAGTTAAGCCTGGAATAAAATACATTGATTTTTGATTGCTTGATTATACGTATATTGATTTTTGAACTTGCTTTCGCCCGTGACTCCGTCCGCGTGGAGTTTAGACGAACTGCGTATCCTATGCGTTGTTCCAGACTATTCTATATGTCTTTACCAAATTTTATCCACATTCGTTAAGCCGTTTAGGCTACAAACTCAAATTACAAGTAAGATTAATAAAATAGAAGTTTCTGTATGCAGTTTAAAAAATAAATTTGGTACAGATGTTTCAACGTTACACATTGAGGCCTTTTGCTAACATTGCGAACAAACTTTAGATATATATGTCCCTTGGAAGGTCGTTGATATAAGGAAAGTTAAGCTATTTTTAATACCATGTTGACAAAGTCGCGAGCAACAGTAAAAAACATTATAATAAGGGAATATATTTTTGTAAAATTGAGAAAGTAAAAATCCATATTATTATATTTTATCAAAATTTTATACGTGTTCGATCAAAGAAAATACTAACAAATAATTCCTAGTTAATATCAAAGAATATAAGGTTACAAGTGGCTTAGAGGCACATTGAACCTCCTTTTGCAGACAGACGTGGGCAGATAATACGCGACTAAAGGAATCGTGTGTTATTAACATAAAGAAACTAAAGGTCCTCGAACTATTCGTGAATAAAGCTTTTGCTATGTGCTCTCTTAGATATGGTATTACATTCATTTTTGCACATAAGTTTCGGGTTTTTAACAAAAATAATAGTTTAGAGCATAGTCAGGAAGAACACATACATAGGCTACTTTTTATCCCGGGAATAGTTACGATTCCCGTGGGATTCATTAATTTAGTTTTTTATTATTTATTTGATCATTATGCAACGGTTATACATATCTTATTGAAATTTGGCACAGATATATAACAAAGTCTGGAGTACACATGGGATAAGGTTCGTCCCCGACAAATGTCTGTTTCCCGAGGCATACCTATCTTTGTGTTATTTATATATGGTAGTTTGTATGTTCTCTAATACCACGCGGACGAAGTCGCGGGCAACAGCTAGTTTTTTTTATAGATTTGTCATCCATACCAACATTATAAAGAGGTAAGATTTGAATTTTTGTATGTATTGAAATAACTCAAAAACTACTATACCGATTTCAAATTCTTTCACCATTAAAAACCTACATCATCTCTAAATAACATAAGCTATATTTTTTTTAATTTCATGTAGACGAAGTCGCGAGCAATACTGACCAGTAAAGTTGTGGTGTAGCAAGGGAAGCGGCGGCAGATGGGGCGCGGTGACCGCGAGGCCGAGCTGCGCGCTGCGGCTGGCGAGTAGCGTCCGCGCCACTGTCAGGTGGTCGTGGTGCGCCGCCACCGCTACCAGCAGATTCAACAGCAACTGTCGGCAATGCTGGTGCACTATCCACCTAACACACATTTAGACAACATATCATCATCATCATCACCACACGTCCCCACCGAGGGGCTCCGAGCCTACCCTAAGGGCGATTAGGCCATAGTCAACCACACCAACCAGGTTGACTTCACACATATCTTTAAATTTTTTCGCCAAAATGTGCAGGTTTCCTCACGATATTTTCCTTCACCTTATGAACGTCAGGTAAATTATCTACATATGGAAATTCGAAAATCACATTGGTTCATGGCGGGATTCGAACCCAAGACCTTATTACAACTCAAGTTCTTAAACCACATATAGACAAGGCATACTGAAATTTTTTACCGGTACTTTCTTTGAAAGGTACTAATCAGTTGTCAAGTTTAGCACACATTATAAAAAAATATACTAAGCAATCTATCGAAGGTATACACACCCTACTTCGTGGCATAGGATGTCAGCAATAACAGCACGTTTTTGAAAAATTCTTTCTTTAATATATAGACCATAAACTACAAGCTAACATCGTTAAGGAAGCAAGGTTGCCATGGTAACGAAAATTGTTATCCAATATCAAAGGCCTTCGTTGTCATTTGTGGAGGCTTCATTCTAATCCTTTTCCCTTCTCACTCTATTTTATAAGATATGACGGAAAAGACAATACATAAGAAGAGGAAATACTTTCTTTCTGTGCATCAACTTCGTAGACTAAAGTTAACAACGCATATGGGCGGTGGTTTTCGTTATCTTGGCAAATTCAGATGATTGCTTGCTTGTTAACCACTATATGATACAAAAAACCTATAGTTGATAATCTGTTCCAATCACTAACCTGGTATGATCCATGCCAAGAAATACAATGTGCAGCATAAGGGGGACGTGTATTGACCAGTCGATCTCTACCCCATCCAGCACCACGTCGCATAACAACATCACCGCAACGTTGCATCTGGTCAAACATTGAATAGATTATAATGACATAGTATACGTAGCATACGTACTAGTTATTAAAAACGTTACATAACCGTAGAATCATACTGTAGACGCTTGTATTAACATATATTGTCGTCCCTATGACAATACAAAGACAATAAAATATATCAATACACGTGTCACAGTCGTGGAATTCTGTTTAGATAAACCTTATTGAAATAGAACTCTAATATAGAAGATAAATTGGAAGCCTCGTTATACAAATATTATTTTTTTCATGAAAGAATTATTTGAAAAAAATCTTTTGTTATCTTCTTCTATATTATACTTTCTTGATATTCAGAGAAAATATGTTAAAACGAGGCAATTCTACTTTCGACACATTTGTATAAAAACATCTCTAGATATCATTCTCATAAAAAAAGGCCAAGCAATATTCAGTTTCAGTAATATTTAAGGTAAGGATTCGTCCACATCTGGCGTCCGACTCGCAGGCCATCCGCCAGATGTGACCATGCCCTAAGCATTACCTGTGGAACCCTGAGATAGGTTGGTTGCTGTCAGGTAAATATTCCGTGAGGAGTGCAAAGTATCCGCCGTACTCTGGCATAGGCAGCGGTCTGGGTTGAGGTGCGTCTTCTCTTGTCTCCTGCGGCGTCGCTGGGGCACTACCAGTAGGCGTAGCGTGTAACTCCGGACCCAAACCGGTCTACAATGGAACAAATATTAAATAAATAAAAAAAAAAACAAAAACATCATTAATTCTACAAATTACAGAAGTATTCGTGCCAGTATTATTGTTAAAAGCCGAAAGGTATTTGATTCGGAAGCACGATCACAGTGACCGTAAGTATGTTTTCGTTGTATAATTGAAGATGGCGTTAGTAGCCTGTTTTCAAAATGCAAAGAAATAATACGCGACAAAACAAATATGACATTTAAAAGCAAATGTTAAGACACCATTTAAAAACGAGGATTTTGAAACATGATGTTTCGAGTAATGTACTCTAATGAAATTTCTGACCCCTCGCCCAACTATAACAAACACAGTATTCAAGTACGCTTATCCTCATTAATTATTTAAAATGCTTATTATGTCTATTATATGGTAAATTTCATGTCCAGTATTGTTTGTCGGATGCGAATACTGATACTTAAGATTAAGTTTCGAATTTAAATGGACAATGTAAAAGTTTTAATTCAAGTAACTTGTTTTCCAGTATCTCGAATAAATAATGTTTAGCCGTCGCTTGTAAGAAATAATTGAGATTCGATGAACTAAAAGTTTTAAACGATCAAAGTTTTATCAAAACAGCTACTTAAGAAAGGGGCTATGGAGAATGCATTGAGAAAATCTTTCAGTTAAATGAATTCCCAATTCAATGGGCAGAAGAATTCGCTCAGTTTGTAAAGCATCGAATACACTATTATTTCTATTTCGTTAAATTGTTATCTTTTTAGTTATATGTGAGCGCTTTGGATTTATTTATTACAGGTTATTGGATATTACTGATTTTGAACAAACGCATTTATTTGGATGAGGATTAATATTGAAACTAATAAAAGGACGCCACAAATAGTTTGCGTTTTTTTAATTCAATTTGTAAACAAAAAAGTGGTTATTGTAAGAAAACCGTTAAAGATGTATACTATTGCGGACTTTTCTGTAGACCATTTTTGAGATCTACAATTCTTTAATACATCATTTTTATATATCTGTAACGGTTTCTCACGCTTAATACGCGCTAGCTGTGGAGTTGCGGAAACCGTAGCCCCTACTACGAGTATCTCTAACGGTTTAGGCAGCGTAAGCCGAAAAAAGGTGATTTTATAACGCCGTGGTCCCGAAATATGTGGTTTATTAATAGTTCCTAAACATTTGTAATAATATAGCCCATGTTACTCACAGATTTTTTTTTTCTAATGGTGAAAGAATTTTTAAAATCGGCCAAGTAGTTTTTGAGTTATTTCGACAGATACAAAAATACAAATCTTTCTTCTTTATAATATTAAAGTAAATAAGAAATCTGTTTGTGTTCAATCTAAAGCAAGACATTCTGTCTTCCATATTGACATTCTAAGAGGTATCTTTATCCGTATTATGAATAAAAAAAATATATCTTACAAACGAACGTCTGCGAAGCTTCTGCTAAACAAGAAACGGAAAACATCGATACTTCTTCAACTTCAACTTAATCGGGTACAATTACGTAGCCTTAGGTGAGGAAAAATATCTCCAAATGTTAAAAGGAACTAGTGATAAAATTTTCTATCTCGAAGATTCGCAGCCATGGCCGGATGTTACAAGGCTCATCTTTTGCGAAAACAACAAACTCAGAACGCAGATGATATTTAAAATTATAAACAACTCTTTGACGCACTCAATACATACATTAATGTAAAATTTGACATGTAACTAAGTGGAAAACAAGAAGAAACGGAGGTATCAATCGATCAAAAAAAAGACGTTATTGAAGCGATCGGTAAACATCGAGGTCAGGGATATTTATTGCGTCGTAATCCCAGTCATATTTATCACTTGATACAATATGATATTTTAAAATTTGCAATATTTGCTTTTATGAATATAAATGAGTGTATTTATTATGATCGATTTGGTTTTTAAAACTAATTGTAAAAATCTTACGTAGGCTTATCTGTTAAATTGTTTAATAGATTTTTTTTTATTTTAACCATTGTCATGTATGGGGTATAAAAGCAAATACACTTCAATCCAAATTAATAACTTTTTTAACTAGGCATACAAAATTGCCTACCTAATAAATAAACCCATTAAAATCAATTATTTAGTATGAAACAAGCTTATTTTTATATTCTTACCTGTACCATATGTTTCCACTGCCAAGACATGTACATAAAAGACATGTCAGTTTACTAAAGGGAGTTCCACATTATTTGTAGGAAAACATGTTTCTGTACAGGTTGACAATGGAAACCATGGGATTTGGCGTAAATCAGATATAAATCAATAATCCATTCCACAGCATTATTAAACGGCGATCAGTCAATTAGTGTTCAGTAAACGTCTTTGTAGTCGAGGATTATTCAGTACAACAAGCATGCTAAAGCATTTACTGATGCATATAATGCCATCAGTAATTGCAAGTTACCTATGCCCGGTTGCGTTTGACGCGGTATCAACCTTAATTAACAAACTTAGTTAATTACATAAGTCAAAACTATAAACGTAAACTTATATAACATATCTTTTTAGTATATTGAAGAAACGAAATGATCATCAATGCGTATACGTAAAAGGTTTTGAAAATATGAACGCTAACATAAACGAATAGCTAAAAATAACGAAATAGAAATATAAAATTGTTTGTAGAAAATATCAAAAAGCACAATTTAAATAGTTGTCTGGTAATGAATCCTTCTAACGACAATTATAAAGAAAATGTATATCAATATCGAAATGGTACAAACGAACAAGTTAAGAATTTATTTGAAAGAAGCCTTTGATAAATTCTAACAAAGAGAATACACGTTGTGCCTTTTATACTAGATTTTTTTGTTAAAGACCTTTGTTAAGATATGAAAAAATAATTTTTGAATATACATTTTTCTCAAATACTTTCATAATCGTACAAAAATTAAATAATAAAACGTTACAAAACAGTAGGATCATATTTTTCGAAGTTATTTAAACAAAAACAAAACTAGATGATCTCTTGTACGAGTATATGTACCTTTTTACCTGTAAGACGACATTATGATAGCGAAATTGTAGTGAAATTCTATTACAAAAGTAGGCTAGTTATAATAATTTGTTGATAATGTTACCGGTGTGGCGTCGCCGTCAGAGGGCGCTGGAGGCTCGTCGTCGACGGGGGGTGTGCATGGCGGCCCCGACGAACGCTTGTCCTGCCCCCTCGGCACCGCACTCTCACAAGGTTTCCCCACGCTGCAGACAAATACAATGCACACCAATATTCACACATTTGTAATGTAACAAAAATAAAAAAAAAAAAAACTATAAGCGCTATGGTATTTTTGGGAAAATTATCAACAAAGGGCAAATTCTGTTCAAGCGTCTTGGATAATTTAGGGGTATGAAAGTAAATACGCTTCAGTTCAAAATTTTAATTTTCTATACCATACTAGAAATACAAAATTGTAGGTTATTACAATTTAGCATGCTCAGATTAAAAAAAGAACTAAAGCGTATTTGCTTATACCCTTCAATTATAAATGTAATAGTTTGGATGTATGGATATTTATTATTACGTAACTTAACAGCATCTGACAAGATCTGGATGAAATTTAAACAATTACGAATGCAGTTTGGTATTGGGCACATTTTCGGCGCACAAGCTAGTAAAAACACAATTAATTAGTGATCATAATATTGTTTGCCTTGAAATAAGAATAAACTATATATGTAATATAATACAAGCTAAAATAAGGATAAACTTTAAAGTCGCAGTTGGCAAACAAAAACAACATTTCAATATCCTTTTTATACATGAGAAAAAAAAAATGATTTCGCATTCACAGCCGCAGCTGCATTGCATGACGTGTATGTGTGAAGGAAACGTGAATAATTTATTAGTAATACATCAAAACTTTGTTTTTCAAAGCAAAATCTGATGGTCATCTACCATGTTTTATGGAGTAAAATGCAATTGCGCAGCGATTGTTTTCGACGCAACGAAGTAAACAATTTTTTCATCATTTAAATGTACGACATTAACTCTTCAAGAAATATGATAGTATGATAGCGATAAGAAGAAAAGTTTTAATTAAAAATCTTGTCTTTTGTGACAGTTAGTTTCTCAAGTTATTTTTATCATATCTGACAATTTGCCATACTAGATAAGTCTTGAAGTTCCTTTACCAAGCTTTTTATCACGACTTAATTTACAAACCTTTTTATTAAACATATATGTTACCAATATAATGGTGACTATTCGTTACTGTACATTGTGTGTTTACGCTATTACCAATTACGTTTGGCACATGAATGTTTGCAGTGTGCCCAGTAACGGCCCTAATGCCCGCCACCGACTCTACTCCACGTATTAAATCATTTCTATCATGTTTACACATAGTGTTGTATCGTCTATTATATTTATTACGTAAACAATTAATTACAGTAAAGATATACTAAGAATTAGATTATTTTTTTCTCAGAAGTGTCTAATTATTTTTGAAAGTTAACTAATTGGGCAGCGACGGTCTTATCTTCTGCGCATTCCGTGAAGTATTTTAATGTATGCCATTTTTAATATAAAATGGACTCTTTCATCGCTAAATTATCGATAGTGAAATACAGTCAAATGCTATCTATTGACTGTAAAAAGCTTTGACAAAGTTGTTACGAGTGCAAAAAATATCTGTGACATGTTGTCAAGTGCATTATTTACTTTAATGGTGAAGAAATAAGTACACGCTGTTTGCAATGTCGTGTGCACCTTTTATTTTACAACTATACTATTGGAAAATATGTGTATCAACATACATCTATGAATATATCTACGATGACTTCGAATATCTTTAATTTATTCTAAGTATATAAGAATACATGATAACTATATAAATTACAAAAAGCTACGTATCCCTCGGGAACCGGACATTTCTCGGGGATGAAGCTTATCCCATATGTACTCCAGACTTTGTTTTATATCTGTGCCAAATTTCAATAAGATATGTTGAACCGTTGCAGAATGATTGAGTAAACATTAAAAAACTAAATTAATGAATCCCACGGGAACCGTAACTCATCCCGGGATATAAAGTAGCCTATGTGTTCTTTCAGACTATACCCTAAACCTGTGCCAAATTTCATGGAGATCCGTTCAGCGGTTTAGGCTACAAACGCTAACAAACAAACATCCATCCATCCATCCATCTAAACTTTCGCATTTATAATATTAGTAAGATAATTAACAGTTGTCAGAAAATTAGAAGAAGAAGTAGATTTTTATTCATTGGTGTCTTTACTTTTTTCCGCGTCTCTAAATATCGAGACGGATAGGTCGTTCACCCATCGTTCGAACTAATCGGAGAATAATCCCGTCTCGTTTGCAAATTGCAAAATTCCCTTAGCCGGAGCTTAGTGTCCTCGTACTTTGATTTTTTTTAGTATTCTTGATAAGTTTCGTGCGTATACAATCGTTTCTTAATATGTACTTGATACGATTGGTAGGTACAGGTAAATGGTACTTAAGATTGAAAATATGTACTTTGAATAGGCATGTATTTGTATTTGTAATCTAAAGGATTTTCTTGTAAAGTGCTTCACATTTCATTTTTCTCAGAGATCATAATATTGTAAAGCAAACATAAAATATTTTCATCGAAGTCAGAAAGCCTCTTCAACTGGTACTACGTTTTATATAAAATTAATCTCTTGTTAACTTTTTGTTCTGAGAAATATGAATACATTTTGAAATATGAACATCATAAGTAAAAAAAAATCATATTACAGTTCAAGTATAGCTCAATATGAAATTTTTCGAATAATTGAAAAAAATGTGTGAATCACCACCAAATGTTCTGTTATAGTTAATACTTGAAAAGAACATAAAACCAATGGCGCCGTCACCGGAGGATAAAACGTGAGTTGAGCCGTCTTTAACTTTCGCTTAAGATAATGTCTGACGATAGTTTAAACAATTTAATATAGAACCATTTTCAACTAAGAACTAGTAGACATAAGACTTACAATATTTTCGCAAGGTTGTATATCTTCTCTGGCTGTAGAGTCATTGAAAGAAAATGTTTTTAAGTGGCGTAACCTGGAATATCGTATTGCTTAAACATATTTTAAAATCAATAAATAGAAAACAACAAGAACAGATAAAAATGGCCTTCTTTACTTTAATCAATCAAGAAGATAATATATCGACTATGGCGCAGTTGTTCTTTGTTTCACAATATACGACGAACCCCTCTTTAAACGTAGATGAAATAGCGCGACAACCTCGTGTTAAAAGTTGTATATTTCGCAGCACCGCTTCTATTCGGAATGCGTCAAAAGGACCGGAGGTACACGAAATTTCCTGCTTTGTTCCATTAACATCCGAAGCTAGTTCTACCATGAAATCCCTCGCGTTAGTTTCACGTACGTCTGGCATAAAATCGAGTTGTACTGCAAAGTGTTCGGAAACGTATTTACAATACCGCCGGTAATTGAATTAAAATCCAGCAAACGAACGGGTTCCGCTTGTGAAGTTAAAATATGTCGTACGTACGTTTACGTTCGAGAACTTTGTGAAATTAATTTCAGACGTGGTCGCGACGTCTGATTGCATTCACCGACAAAGTGCCTGGATCACATAACATGATACAGTATTTTATTATTAAGAGCGATCATAGATCAATTTAATATTTGCACGGAACATCCTTTGTCAACCAATTATTGTGCATTGATAGGACGGTAATGTTTTACACGGGGATGTATGTTTATAGATATTGTGAACATTTGTAGCCTTAAGGGCTGAATCAATTTCGATAACCGACGTGTAAATAGAATCGTATTCTTCATCAGCATGTCATCCGGAGGAACAGAATGTCGGGATCTTTTAATTAACAACCATTTTTAAAATGTAATTAAGCGTCAATTACCAGTTTCACTTCACTTTATTTTAATTAAAAATGCCAAAGCTTCGAACGCGACTTACTTTATAAAAGTACAAAAAATGATCTAGAAAAGGAAGACAGACAGCATTTTTTTATTGATTCCAGCGAGTTCTACTTAAAGGTCTCAAAGGGAACAGATCTCTTTGCAGTGAATAGGGATTTTCTCAGTCTCACCTTAGATGGTCTTGGTACTACTGTAAAGGTGATTCTAACATTGTTCTGAAAATAAACATGTGATGTTGCACTCAGATTGTTTCCTCTATAAATTCTCGAATAATGTGAAGCAGATGTTTTCTTGTATTTTTAGTTACTCTTGCCTCTTTGAATATCATTGTACGAGAACATAGTTTTAAAATGTCGTAAAATACTAATAATCTCCTATCAACATAAGAGGGATAGGTTTCATAGCAACAAATGACTTAAGTCGATAAAAGTGCGCTTACGGGAGCTATAAAATTCAAATAATTGGGGATGTAGAGTCCCAATTTGTTTCGCTCTATGCATGCACGTCATATGCCTTTGACAGTCTAATTGCGAATAAGCTCTTTATTCCACTCCACGTTTAGAGATTTATAGTTCTGAATTGCTTATTACGAGTATATCTACATAGAATTGATTGATTCACTTCCTCGTTTGTTACTCCTTTACATGTTTTGATGTCAACGAGTTCTTCTGATACCAAGACTAAGTTATTTGTGTGACGACTTTATTGTGATTAAATTATACAATATTAGTTTAATGGTTTAACGAGTAGCAACCATTTCAGGGTAGACGTTGCCGTAGCGATGGTCCTCGCCAAAGTCAACTTTGCAGAGCGTTTTACCTGTCATGTTGAATAACCACGGACGATGTTTGAGAAATATTATGCCCTTTGCACGTGCAAACGTACTCGTACTCTTACGATGTTGAAAAAAAAAAAACGTACAAAGTTACATTTCTATTTAAAAAACTTTACCCAGAACATGAAATGTATTTTCGTTTACTATAGCGAAGTCTTATAATTGTTTTGGGAATAAGAACTTTAGATATTTAATATTGGTGGAATCTCTAATACAGAATTCTAGGAAATATTAAAAGAATAAGAAGCCGCGGGCAACAGCTAGCAAATAATAAAACGCAAACGGTTCAAGTGTTGAACAATAAAGAACTGTACGTGAGGTGGTTATGGTCTTTAATCGTATAACTTTTGTTTCATTGAATTTAACCCTTGCTCGTGATCGCCCTTCATGCGTCCAGTCGAACGGACAGCATCGCCGACGGCTGCGGGGGTCTAGATATTGTCAGAAACAACCATCATAAATGTAACAGACTAAAACGCAATTACACAAACACTTGTACATTTAATACCCTTCAGTGAAAGCGCACGTCGATGTTTATTACTACTTAAAAGTTGGGGTAGAAAATATCGTTTTACTTTCGATATCCAACTATATTGAATTTTATCACGTAAATAAAAGACATTAGGAAATTTCCCATAAGCCGCTTGGCAACAATGTATACAAATTATTTATTATTCCTCGAAGCTTGTAATATCACATTTTCCGTAAAACGAATAACATTAGAACAAATACATTCGAATAAATTGATATCAACATTTCTGTTGTTACTAAGAAGATTAAAATAAGTAGGATTAAGTACTTGGCAGACTACGTTCTACAGATATTTAGAGATCAAAAAACAGAAATTTTATTTGCAAGCACAGTATGTATATTATGCCTTAAAGGCTTGTCATTTATTATACGAGGTTTTAATTAAAAATGGAGGGGAAATCGTTAAGGGGTCAACACAAAATTGCAGTAAGTGCAAATTTGATGGAGTTGATACAACATAGGGTGCTTTAAGAGGGGTTTTATGCGATGCAAATAGTAAACACTAATAACAAGCAAACATGATGTTTGGCTAAATGTCAAACATTGGCAGAGCGATTATTTACACAAAAAAAAAATTAAGCGCGCAGCAAAACAGTTTTAGCATATTGTAACCTCAATTTATACAAGAAAAAGGGATGACCATTTTTTTTGTTCGCAGTATAAATTCAAGGTTACACTTGGATCGGGACAATAAGTTGCTAAAACCACTTCATTTTAACCAAAAAAATTGTAACAGAACACTTGCTGTTGCGTTGCTGCTAGCTGTGTGCGATACGAAACGCCTTGTTATAACATTCCGTCGCTTGGCGAATGTGCGCGCTAAGTGTAGTAATGGTTTAAGTAAATACATACCAAGATTTAGCTGGATCTTCGCCGCTGTGCCGCTTCGTATGGATTGTGCCTTTTTCTATCGGAGCCAATTCACCCGTGCGACCTGTGGCATCCTAGTGGAAAAAATCCTATTTAATGGAAAACTTTGTACTTTCAACATGAAACTTTGAGTGGTTTATTAAACGTATAACGTTATAAAATTAATGTAAAATTGTATGCTACACGTTAATAATTTTTGCTCTGTAAAGTTGTGCTGTAGTCAAACTGTAAGCTTTTGAGTTAGAAATGTTACAGGAGTGGCGTATTGTTCCACAATTTTAAACGTAACGTCGAACATAAAATTATTTGTCGGGTTTGTAAAATTTTGTTATTTAGTTTTCCTCAACATTATTTCATTTATTAGGAGGAAAAGGGAAAAGTAAAATTCAATTGCATTTTACATATCGCGTTATAAAATCGTTGGAAAAAACTTTTATTTTAGTATTAAAATCGTACAATTTTTTTAATTCGCCAGCAATGGTCTTTTATAAAACATGTACTCCTTGCTACACTCAGAGTAGCCTAATGTTCAATTAAGCTATCATTTAGTTCAAACTTTTTCGAGAAATTTTATCAAAGCGTTTTCAACAGCAACTCAAATTGAATGCAGCGATTACAAGCAAATTTATCTCAAAGTTCCGTCGATACAAGGGTAACAATGTAGATAGCAGTAGAGTAAGACCTTGTTTACATTATTTCAATTCAGCGATCGAGTCCAACGCCGGACGCGGGTAAAAAAGTAAACACGAACTGAAACACATATAGCCATTTCTATTGTTGATCATCCTTTTCCAATTGCAATCCAGATTGTTGGGCTTAATTAATGTAACATGAGCATAATATATTACTTGTGATCCTGTGCCGGGGCCGTCGCTGTGTCCAGATGTAGCCTTGCGCATCGAGGTGAGCCTGTAGAAGGGCGGGGTCTCAGTGCGTTCGATGAGGCAGTTGAGGGTCTCCACCGTCTGGAGCTCCGTCATCATCTCGTCGAGAAGGCGCTCGGGTCTAGACCGAGCTAAGTACAACACCACCCGCTTCGCCTAACAGAATTCAAAACAATAAAATTAAATATTTACCGACAGTCAGTTATCTTACCACCGCATTAATTTATATGAAACATTTAAGAAACGTATTGGTTGATGGTAACGAATTTTAACTCAAATAAATTTTATTGTTCATTTTTGTGTCTCATTAAATCAAAGGTTTCTTAAAGAAAGGTCAAGGCTTTTGTTAATTCGCTTGGATACAAAATTTGTAATTCAAAACCCATCGCAACCGTGGCCCGGCAACTGTGTATTGATTATATCTTACCGCCTTTATTTCCACTAAATAAGCGAGAATTATTTTACAGGATAATTTGTTTATCCTGTATTTGTATAAGATAATTTTCCTAGCTCTCTCTGAAAAGAAGTTTTATTGTAACAAAGCCGATTATTAAGTCCAATTAGGACGATTTGTAAATTTTATCATAATTGCTTCTTAGGATAAAGGAGCAAGTTTTAAATTAATAATTTAATCGTTTCATAAATTAATCATTTATCACTAAGGGGCTACGAGAGCATTTGTCAGCGACATATGATATTGTTGAAGTAAAGGACAATGTCCAGTAAGGGGGTGGACAGAGACAGTACCCGGAGGGAGCGGGATAGAGCCATGGAGGATGAATCCAGACAGACGACATTAACAGACAACAGTATTGAATTACTATCACTGCCGACTGACAGACCATTACGAGCTTTGTGCACGTCCTCCAGTATTATGTAACATTTATTAATTATTACATACATGGATTTAATTTGCAGGTAGATGTACATTTAATTTGTATTGTAGTATCGTATTATTTAAACTTAGACAAAGACAATTTTTTTCAAAAACATATAATAAAATGAATGGTTAATTCTTGTAGTATACTTACATATGGCAGGAGTTCGTTGGGAGCCATCCCTGATACGATAATAAGGTATCGTATAATGACTTTCAGGTTGTTGGGCCAGCACGCGCAAAGAGTCGACCAAAGCTCTTCAATCTCCTTTGGATGATTGTCCGAGAACTGCGTGAACAATTTAACAATTATGCATACAAAAATATCCACCTTTTGTGATTTGCCATCAAAATAATAATGAACTGCAAAATGAAACACGTGTCATGTCATGTCAAAATGAAAAAAAAAAGAAAACTGTTCTATATCCATAAGTTACAAAACATAGTAATTAAACTTCCACGATAATTAAAAACAAAGTTGCTTAATACTTCAACTCAGACTAACAAATCAGACAATATTAAAACTACTTCAGTCATAATTAAATGCGCAAAACATGCGACAGCTTATTTATCTCCCTACCCTACTGTAGTCATCCCTATATTACGATCGGTACACACGAGGGCAAACAGCAGTATTGTTCTTTCGCAGTGTACCTACGGCCTTACTGTTACGGCTTCGTGTGTGACTAGCATTATGGGAACACTAATTACAAATGGAGAGGACTGAACACGTAATAACTACAACTGTAACTCGATCCAATCTATGTTCACTACAAAGGGCGAAGACTGTGCAACGTATTAGTAAGATGACGTCACCACAACTCTATTAGTTGTCTCCATAGCAACCAGATTTAGTTGAAGTAAGTACAGGCTCGATCGATCGGTGGACGGCTATTGAAAGTACTATACCCAATTATAGTGTAACACTTAAAATAAAATGTTTACCACTTAAATTTAATAAAATAATAGAATCAATCTTGTATTATAAAGTCTTTAATAAAAAAAAACCTATGCTTGCCATTTTAAAGTACCCCATCGTCTTAAAAGCGGGATATTTCATAACTTTCTTTCGAGTTAAACAAAATTTCTGTTTCTTAAGATACAAATAAACAAAGTCAATATAAATTGCTGCATTATTTTATAAAAAAGTTGTTGTGGCACATGACAGTGAAGAGGCAGAAAGTAGGGCGCGACGTTCCCCGCCCTGCCCTGCCCTTACAGCTTACCCCTTGTGACGCAACCTTGAATATGAGTTCAGAGGGTTGACAGTAATCGCAAAAGGCACTCATTATATCTCCCTCCGTTCGTTTATTGAAAATTCACATCGGTCAAAACAGCTTAATCCCCTAATTAATACCAATACAAACACACAAAATTACAATAAGACTATTCAGTTCAGTCTCCCTTTGCAGTTTAGTTTGTACCCACAAATTATTATATCAATAGAAATTCGCCGGAACGAGGGAACTTCCGTGCGGTCACATATTCTGTTAATTGGCAAGATTGAACAATATCTCTGCAACCCGTATTGAAGTGAGGCAAATACTAGAAACTAAACTCGTCTGCACCGCTAACAACCTGTTTCTAGTTTCTACATGGCGAAGACACGCCGGACCAATTAGCAATTTCTGTCCCAGCTTAAATAAATACTATCATTCCAATGCATACACGGAACGATCTGTATTTCAGAGAAATCTCAACATCCTATATTGTTGTTTTGCAAAATTTAAAATAACTTATTTTTGTTGTCAAATTACTTGGCAATAGAAAACTAAAACACTACTTGCACTTGCATTTGCATTTGAACACTTGCATTTGAAATCTTTTCAGAGTAAGTTTATGCGCAACATTCAATATGTAGCCTCGTAAAGATTGTTATGAAGTACACTAGTTAGTTACACAGGCCATGCTACTCCTATGGGAGCGGTAAATAAAAGCTTCTAAGCGAATATGTTAACGTTCCCATATGAAGGTTGCGGCAACGATTAATAGCTCTTAGGTGAAAGTAAATACCCCGCTTGCGCTGTTACACCCTAACCTTGTCTCTAAGTAATTACTTACTAAGCTGTCTTTGACCATCTGCTTTATAAATAACAATTTTTTCAATGACATCGTTAATTAAACACGTTTAAATTTTAAAACGCGTTTATTCTTCGTGACAGTTTACTGCATCTCTTAGTGCGAGCGTATTTGGTGAAATTTTTAAAATATGATTAGTTAAATTATATGCGATAATATTAGAGCAACAACAGACATTTTCTCATACAAGTCTAATGATAGGTGAAATTCGTTGTTATTGCTTTGTAGTACGTGAAAACCTGACTATCGTACGGTTTAATTTTATTGATGAAATGTTTTTAAAATTGAAAATTTCGCTGTCAGTTTTGCTGACTCTGTATAATTAACAGTGAACGATTCATTTAGTTTAACACGAGTTACAGAACGATCCCTGCGGCTAACGTATGTTAGGATACAAACAGTGACAGCAACTCAACCCAACCCTCGATACGGTTTGCAATTTTATTTTTTCAATTTACGCGAGGCTTGCATGTTTCATTGACATTGACATAAGGCAATCAGAAACACAGACTAGCCAACGGTTAATTGATTTCGAGTAAATAGCATCTCAGTCGGAAGGGTTGTGATATTTGAACACAAATACGGATAAATAAACCGGAACGCTACGGTTCGGTGAAAAATGTAAACCAATTTAAATTTTAATCGAAACTGTAGTTTGAAAATCATGGTGATTAAAAATGTTACTTTCAGAGTAGTTTCACGAGATGTTAGACTTTTAAATCAGGTAACGATATTTATAGCAATCATATATTTGCGGATTTATGAAAAGAAACGTGACTTCAATTTGGTGTTGTAACTACACACTTTAGTTACCCAAAAATATTGACGCTACCCTTGATTTTTTTATTTTGCCGTATAGAAAGGAAAGGAAAGTACCCCGCCTGTCTTTCAAATTAATCGATGGCGTTGTGAAGGTTCTGACCTTGACCGTGCGGATTATGAAGAGGGGTGGACGCACCGAGCGTTAAGAAGGGTTCACGTCTAACAATGGGTGGATGTCGACCCATCATGATGCTCTTACTAATCATCGGCAATGGTAAACACGGCGACTACAAAAATATTCATTTCATTGGAGTGTGTTCGATAATATACGTATAATACGCATATTATACCAAAGACTGAATTTAATATTTGCCAAGATAAAATTCGTAGTAAATCTAAATGTATGGATAATGGGATATTTGAATTTAAATGATCATTTTAAGGAATGGAAGAAGGTATTATATAATTCAATTTCCCATATCCTCTTTGGAGCACTCTTTACATGCAAGACGGGTTTGAATACCCGTCCCGGACATAAGTTCCGTATCGTCGTTTTCAATAATAATTGAGCAGCAAAAAGAATTTCAATTCACTCGCATGTTAACGTGGACTTACATAAATCCATGGTATTCATAATGCAGCAACGAATTTCAGTTGAAGCGTAACCAACGCACAAATATTAGTTTGAATTGTGTAAATTATATTTGCATTCGAGTATAACATTCTCTCGATACACGTTTGAAAATGATCTATCAGGAAAATCACGTTTGTTATCAGTTGCAGATTGCAGAGGCATATAGGTGTGTGTGTACCATTGTGCACTTAATAATTATGTTACTCCGAAAATTTGTCAGCCGAAATGCTGTTGATTGTATTCGCCTATTACGTTGTAAACCAAGGTTGTACCACAACGCTATGATTAGACGATAATTCAAAATCTACATCTTTGTCTATTGAAAACATTTTACGCCGCTAGACTAGTACCTGTGAAAACGCGCTGCAAGTTGTCGTTATCGGATGTAAATTTTGATTTTTAGGAATATGTGGTGTTAAAAAAAACAAGTGCTCAAACCTCATACAACATTAAAACTATAAAATTGTAAAACATGCACCATGTTTCTTGAACTATGAAATCAATCTATAAATGTAAACATACCTTTGCAGTGATGTAAAATAAATTATTGAGGACCATTTCAGTGGCTTCCACGGAGCCGAGGCCCTCTCGCCGCACGCTGCGACCGCCCTCCGACGCGTAATACTGTTGGATAGTAAAGATACCTTAGAACTTACACTATGGAATAAGTAAATTGGAAACTGGATTCGGGTACAGCAAGCATAAAGTTTTTCGACAATATCGCAACGAAAATAAACATAAATGATGTGAATGAATTAATGGAAATTCAATATCAAATTTCTAAAGTAAATTCAAAATAGAGCTTGGAAAAAATTCAATATTTAGTTTAGCTTTTTGCTATCGGTACTAACCAACCCTAATATACTGTTCCTGGGTTCCATACTAGCAACATTTCTACTGCTACTATATTGCGGTTCAGACCGAACGGGGCTTAGTTAAAGATATTTCGGTGATGTTCAAACAGTATTTCCGCTGCTAAACATTAGGCTATTGGACGTTGGCCTCTCCCGCAAAGGGCAAGAAACTACTCACAGACAAACAATAGTACACCCCAATAACAGAAACTAAACGTAAGAACTTTAAATGTACCAAATACTTTACAGGAGATTTATTTATAAATAACTGTGAGTGTCTTAAGATACCTTTAACTCTTAATTCGACGAAGTGTTTTGAAGAAAAAAAATATATATTATATGTTACCAGAACATTAAAACCAAAATCTCACGACTTTTCCTCTATACTAGTTCAGTAGATTTATTAAATTAGTCGTAGGTCACACTGGGCACTATCGTATTAAGAGCGTGTTATAATTAACATTTAAGGTTGTAATTTAGTATCTAAGTTGATAAAATTTTTTGATAAGATTTTTTGCTATTAAATTGAAAAGGATATTTTGATGCACTTAACTACCGCACTCTATCATAAATTTATTGTTATCAAAGACTTCACTTAGGTGCGAACATAGTTATTATATTCGTCTTCGACACGACTCTGTGACTGACATATCATTTGCGATATAATCAATTTGATATCGATTAATTACAGGATGTAATTAGAATGTACGGCACAATACTCGTATGTACGGAATGTACGGAATATTATATTTCGGCTACCTGTCGTATTGTATGGATCTGAATGTTGGGCCACCAAAGTTGCGGATGATGCATGTGGCTGAGATGCGTATTTTAAGATGGAGGTGTGGTGTGACAAAAATGGATAAAGTTAAGAATTTGTACATTAGAGGAAGTTTGAAAGTAGCACCAGTGGTGGAGAAATTAAGCAGCAATAGGTTAGCGTGGTATGGACATGTTATGCGACGAAACAATGGGGACATAAACCAGAAAGTGTTAAGATTTTATGTGGATGGTTACAAAGGTAGAGGGAGACCGCAGAAAGTATGGATGGATTGTGTTAAAGAGGATATGCTTAAGAAAGGAGTGGATACAGATATGACGGCTGATAGAGATGTATGGAAGAGCAGCACATACTGTACATAAGGGCAAGTGGATAAAGTGAACTAATCACCGTATGACCAAAATGTTAAAGGTTGGTCTATTTAAACATTTAAATAATTGAAATAATATTGATACAATAACAAATCAAATATTCACTAATTCCTTTTAAAAATAAAAAAAGAGGGATTGTAAAGTAGCTTCAGTTCCATTCAATTTATTTTTAATAAAAAAAGGGTAAAGGTTACAAGTTTTCGGATCATTTATGGCATAAATAAATACATTTATGTAGAGCAAACGCAGTTTCCGAATTACTTGCTTTTCAAGATATGAAATGTAATATTTTGTGCCGTAAAATAAGAGGGAAATAGATAACAACGCGCCGACCTCTCGCTGTGCTTATTGTTGACTTAATTGATCTCACATTGTAGCGATCTGTCAACAATTGATTGGAATTAGGGACTCGTTACAGACACTCATTAGACACCAAAATATATGGGCTTTGTTTATTTGCTCGCTTCTATCCTAAACAAGTACACTTAATGTAAAAAAATTAGGAGTCATCATTAAGTCACTTTTCCTTCCCATTCTTTCCTCTTAAGAAGAGGGTGGATAGGGAAAGGGACTAAAACTGGGCGTCCGGTACCACATTCATCAGACGAAACGCGGAAATGCTTCCACTACACGCCTGTTTTCTGTGTGGTCGTGGTATTTCACCGGGCGAGCCGGCCATACAGTACGAAGATGTTAAAGCGGGCTCTACCTGTGTTAATCGTGTACCAATGTATCGAAACAAGGTAGGCGTTCACTGGAGTAGTTGTTATTACAGCACGTGATTATTTTCTCACCAACTGTTTAAAAAGTATGGCAACTAATTTAGTTATTCATACGATAATATGGTACTTTCGAGGTAACAATAATAGGTTTGATAATTTACTAGAACGCCTTTTTTCCTGTTTGTTACGAAAAATGTTTTGTCCAATTAGTAGAGATTAACTTTGTTTTTTTTTTTAATTTCCCTTGTTCGGAGAACCTTCAGTACTACTTATTGAATTAATTTACAAAGATTTAAGAATCGACTGTGGGTATTTTCTTTTTTAACCAACATTTATCATCCCTCTCTATGGAAAAAAGGACCAAATAAAAATAAATAATGGCAAACACATCGGGCCTTATTATATAAAACTTAGACAGTCTTTCAATTCTATTTTAGCGTACATAACATATGTCAACGCTTTTATATCTTTTGCTTGCTTTTATATCATGGCTCAATAGCCTATCATCATCAACTTGCCCTTATCCCTTATGGATGGGTCGGCACAGTATGTGCTGTTCTTCCATACATCTCTATCAGCCGTCATATCTGAAACCACTCCTTTCTTAAGCATATCCTCTTTTACGCAATCCATCCATACTTTCTTCGGTCTTCCTCTTCTTTTATCCATCCAGCATTTATAGCTGAGCGAGGACCCAATCCAGTCAGCATTGCAAGGCTAATTTTAAATATTTCTTTTTTTTTCATTTCATTAGTTACGTTTCTCATTATTTTGTGTTTAATTACTTTTTTATTATTATATAAATTATAACACGGCTAAACT